CGTTTTTAAAGAGGGCGTGAGGACATAAATGACGATCAACATGTCGGCCAATCAAAATCCGTGACCACCGGAAATTCCATCGAAGCTGTGCGTGAATTCATCAAAAATCAGCCGAAATCATCATTGAATTTCATGGAAATCGAATTGAACATCTATTGAACATCGATTTATCGCATTTTGACCGAACATTTGGGGTTATGAAAGGTGCGTGCACGGTGTGTTCCGCACAAATAGACTGACAAAAAATCACATTTTAACCATTAACCACCCCCCGTATTCACCTGAGATAAAAAATAAATATTTTTGGAGCCTAATACGATATTGAAAAAAACAAAACTGAAGAAAAAGAGCAACTCGAAGAAGACAAAACGAGATTACTATAAATTTATCAGAGCACGCTCTAAAAGATTATTTCAAGTTATCTGGAGAAATGAACGGATGAAAGTTATCTGGTAGTATATGTAAAAGTATTGACAAAATAAATGAAAATTTTTAATTTTTAAATTCTGTTATTAATACATAGCGCGAATTTTGGGTAGCCGCAGGCTTATTTTTACCGTTTTTGCGGTAAGTTCTCTGTGTTTTTTGATTTGGAAAAGGGACAAATTAAAATTTTCTGGGAAAATGGTCTTTTTAACAAAGCAATCAGYCGGCTAATCAAAAGGTCAGAGAAAGTCGTAAGAAATTTTCTGAGATTAGGAGATAAATATGGCATATCCAATAAAAAATCAAGGAGAAATACCAAGATAACTCGCCGGCAAGTTAATATAATTAAAGAAGAAACTACTAAAAATCGGTTGAGTGCTTCTAAAATAGTAGCAAAATTAAATCTGCCAATTGGAAAAAGAAGACTTTAGAAGATTTTAGCTGCAGACAGATACATAAAGTGGAAAAAGCAAGTAAAAAAAAACCACAACTTACCCATGTCCATAAAGTAGCCAGACTTAAATTTGCGAAGGAGCATATGAGTTGGACCGATTGCTGGCACGATGTTGTTTTTTCTGATGAAAAAAAGTTGAATTTAGATGGACCTGATGGGTTCAGTTATTACTGGCATGATCTGCGCGAAAATAATCCTCCCAGAATGAGCCGTAATTTCGGAGGTGGATCTGTGATGGTATGGGGTGGGTTCTCCCACCATTGAAAGCTCAAACTATGTTTTATTGCGACGAAAATGGATTCGGAAAAATATATTGAGATGTTGGATGATATGCTTAAACCCGCTTTGAAAATGTTTGGGGCATAATTGCAAGGGCTGTGTATGCGAATGTTCGTCAGTACTGCAGGCGAGGTAGGATCTAGATAGAGGTATACTGCAAAAGTTAATTGACTCCATCCCAGCCAGAATTTTCCAAGTAATTAATAAGAATGGGAGTGCAAAATTTGCTAAACCTTTGCGAAAACCTCTTAATTATCTAATTTTTTGTAATGCGGCTATGTAARGTTGGCGTATATTTACGTTGTATTTTCAATATTTTAACTTTTTRTTTCAGTAATGCATTTGAAATGTAAAATTATTTTCTCTTCTCTTTCCTAATAAAGAAGTATTTTGAATATTCTAAATTCAGTTACTTTTGACAATAACTCTTATGTTAAACCACCAAAAAGCATRCGCGGCTAACCAAAGTTCGCGCACTGTAGACTACGTAACACAAAAAATATATTTTATAATAATCATGTTAAAAGTTGTTTGGTCTAAGGTATTCGACATATATAATAGCTAAATAATAGCTAATATTCTAAAATTTGCCTCAGCCATTACATACACATATACATATATTTAAACAAGTATTTTTAGGTTTTCAACTATCAATATTTAAAATGTATAAAATTATTTAACTGATTAGGAAGACGTTTCCGTAAAACTTGAAGCACTGGATATACTCACCGACTTGCTTTCGCGATTTGGATTGTTTTTAATCCCTTTTCACAATCAGATTTTAAAAGCTTTGATTCCTSAACTAGAATCACCTCGACAGGCCGTAAGAAAACGTTCAATTATCGCACTTTCACATCTTCTTGCATTGGCAGATGATAGCATCTATGATGACGTCATAGTTCGTCTTTTGAAAGGTTTRGAAAACAACTCAAACTCTGGTGCCGTACGAACATACATCCAATGTTTAGCATCGATTTGGTAGTATATAATATATTTATTGAAATACATGTAAAATAATATTTTATRATATAGTCGACAATCTGGTCCTCGTTTATGCAGCCATGTGAACACAGCCATAAAACATTTAGAAAGATACAGTCAGTGTGATGACGATGAAGTTCACGAATTTTGCCTCCAGGCGTTTGAAGCTTTTGTTTACAGGTGCCAAGACGCCGTAGCTCCCCACGTGTCTATGGTATGTATCTTTAAACAGTTTTATTGCTTATTTCATATATGTCTGTACATTTTTTTGTAGTTGTTATCTATATTTAGGGTTAAAATGGATATGCACGGATGGACGACGTTCTCTAGATTAAAATCTTAACTGGTCAATTGAAAAGTCTCCGACATACCACAGTAAAAGAGATGTTTTTTTGCGAAATTCAACTTTTTTCCTGTTCAAGTTTTTGATATCATTTTGGTAGTACTATTTGTCGTTAGTTTCAAAATAGACCTCCGTTTTGGCGATAATCTCTTCATCCGACGAAACTTCTTCTCTCCGARCATTCTTCTGAGGATGTGGAAGTAATTCGAGGCTCAATTCAGGGTTTTGTCACCACCGATTTTACTGACTGGTGACCCGGTGARCATTCCTTTTCCTCAAATGATCGTTTATTTTTCAATGCGCATCCCAAAATACAGACGCCATAACCAGTCAGCCAAATTTTTCACTCTTTGGAGCGGGTTCTTAGTGTGCAGTACACTCGGATAACTGTAGTTTGGACTTCAGTGAAATGATGATGCATCCATTGTCACATATCGACGCGAAAATTCGGGTACCATATTATCAACTCCATCCACTTTGCACAGAGCTTTCTCATATTGAAATATTCATAAATGATATTATGTATTCGTTCAGTTGATATACGAGGTGTGTTCAAAAAGTATCGCGAATTTTTAATTTTCGCGGGATACGTATATTCGAGTTTCGAATTYTTTGTGGCGTTATGTTGGTATTCATGTCTCTCACTTATGCCGACAAGCTCGGCCATTTTGAATATTCATTTAATTGTTGACAGCTGCTTTGCTTGCACGTGTTTTGGATCGTG